AATGGAACCAAAGGAAATCAAAAGGATAATAACAGAATACTATGAAGAGTTGTACTCCAACAAATTTGAAAATTTAGAAGAGATGGATACATTTTTAGAAAACCACGATCTACCTAAACTCAAACAGAGTGAAGTAGAAGACTTGAACAGACTCATAACAAAAGAAGAAATTGATCAGGTCATCAAAAAACTCACAACCAAAAGAAGTCCAGGCCCATATGGCTTCATTGGTGAGTTCTACCAAACATTCAGGGAAGAGTTGTCACCAATTCTACTGAAATTATTCTAGAGTATAGAGGAGGATGGAAAACTTCCTAATACTTTTTTTTTTTTTTCAATGTTCAGTTCCCTTTAATGACCCCTCCCTGAGGGGCAGACACAGGTAGTCAGGTGATGAACGACATGGTGTTTACTTGAAGACCTTGCCCTGGTTGAAGTTTTTGCCCACATGCTGGAAGACTCCCTCCCAGGAAAAGTACTCCCGCACCAGCGTCTGTGTCTCCTTGCTGCCAGGATCCAGCTTCCCCCACGTGTAGGACTCATAGTCCACCTGCCAATCTGGACTCAGCAAGCTCTTGGCCTCTGAAGACCCAGTTCCCAGAGATGGAGCTGCTGTTGTTGGTCCCAAAGAGGATGACACTGGCAAAGGCATTCTTCCTCAGATTGTCCAATCTCTGGAACATTCTGGTGATGAGGTTGTAGCTCATGAAGGCCTGGGTGAGCTCCTCGGGGAAGCGGTATTCAGAATACCACAAAGACCAGCCATCCTTATCAAAGTGCTCCCAGAAATACGGAAGTGTCACAGAGACCGTGTCCTCGTTGGAGTACTTGCGTTTAAATTCGTCCAACACAAAAGTACTCTTGGGCAGGTAAGCAAAGGGCTCCTTGGCCTTTGGCACAGCAGCTAGTGCCTGCTCACATTCGTCCATCTCCTCCTCAGGGGCAGCAGCCGTGGCCTTCTTCTCTTCTTTCCGCTCAGCCTGAGCCTTCTGCTTCTCCTCCCACTGACCTTTCTCTTTCCGTGAGGTGTCCTTCTTAGGTTGGCTCTCAGCAAACTTTTTAGCATCGAACTGAGCCATCTTCTCACAGAGCTTCACCTCCCCCAAAACAGCCCGGAACTGGGGCTGGTTAATGCAGGTGAGGAACCAGAGGTTGGTATTGGGGAAGGCCTGACGAAAAGAAGACTCTAGGACCTGTTTGTAAAGCCACCACAGGGTACAGACAACTGTTATGTCAGCCAGGGTCACACATTCGCCCACCAGGAAAGTCTTCATTTTCAAGTGAGCATTTAGCAGTTCCAGAATTCGTTTCACCTCCTCCTTGGCATTCTCTGTGGCCTGCTCGTTGTGATGCATGATGCCCAAAGTGGGGAACCTAAGAAGATTCTGGATGATGATCAGGATTCCACCTCTGGTTTTTTGTGCAATGTAAAGGCTCTGCAGTGAGCCTCTTTTGGTGGGCAAGTTCTAGCCCCATTTTAATTATTCCAAACAGTTATAGGCTGAAGATGGACTTACAAGATTTCTCTGGTGAGGTTTCTGGCTATTCCTCTCTCTTCCCTTCAAGTGTCTATTTTACAATAGGAGGCAAGGGAAACCAAGATTCAACAGACAGCCAAGCATCTTAAAACATAATTTCCTCAATTTTACCCATACAAACCATGCCTCAATGTCTGTATCCAGGAGCCCTGTTGTTCCACGTTTATGCTTAGATTGTTAATTACCTCTGTCCTATTTAGCCATGTAAACCTGCCTAGCTATTCTCCCATCCACTTTATTTTTCCTTTCTCCTTCCCCTTCTAGTGTATTGCCCCACTCCCCAGCACCAAACTATCCTGTGTGTATTCCATACCCTGTGTTGCACTATCCTGTGCCTATTCCCTACCTTGTGGTTCACATTCCCCTCCCTTCCCATCATCCTACCCATACACCCCAGTAACAAACAAAATAAAATCAAAATTAATAATAATAATAAAAATCAAAGATAATTTCCCCCCTTTCAGTGTGGATGCTTTTTCTTAATCTTTTACAATAATGGCTCTATGCCATATTTCTCCTTTTGTGACTGACTGATTTCACTCAGCATAATGTCCTCAAGGTTCATCTATGGTATACAGTGGCTTGCTGCTGCCTTGTTATTCATCAGGGTAGTGTGCTATTCCATTGTGTGTATGTACCAAAGTTTGTTTATCCATTCTTCCACAGATGGGCACTTAGGCTATCTCCATCTTTTTGCTATTGCAAATAGTGCTGCTATGAACATTGGTGTGCACATACCTACTCGCGTTATGCCTCGTATTTCTTGTGGATAAATACCAAGTAGAGGAGTTGCTGGATCATAAGGTACTTCTATTTCCAACCTTCTGAGGAAGCATCATATTGTTTTCCAGAGTAGCTGGACCATTTTGCAATTCCACTAACAATGTAGTAGGGTCCCAGTCTTTCCACATCCTCGCCAACACTTATTGTCCTCTAATTTTTTGATATTTTCTATTGTTACTGGTGCGCGATGCCATCTCATTGTTGTCGTTTGATTTGAGTCTCTCAAAATGGCTAGTGATCGTGACCATTTCTTCATATGTTTGTTGGCTGCACAGATCTCCTCCTTGATGAAGTGTCTATCCATGTCCTGTGCCCATTTGCCCATTTGTTAATTGAGTTGTTTATGTAGCGGTGTTGTAGGTTCCTATATATTTTGGAAATTAGTCCCTTGTCTGATGTGTCTTTGCAAAAGATTTTTTCCCATTCGGTGGGTTCCCTTTCTACTCTTCTGGTGAAGTCTTTTGATGCACATTAGTTTTTAATTTTTAGTATGTCCCAATCATCTGTTTTGTCTACTTTTGTTTGTGTAAGTTTCAAAATGTTTGGTAGTTTGTGTATGTCCTGTATTAGAGCGCTCACATTTCCCCCTATTTTTTCATTGATGGCCTTTGTAATTCTGGGATTCACATTTAGGTCTTTAATCCATGCTGAGTGGGGTTTTGTATAAGGCATGAGGTAAAGGTCTTGTTTCAGTCTTTTGCATATCGCTTTCCAGTTCTGCCAGCACAATCTGTTAAAGAGACTGTCTCCTCCCCATGCAATATACCTAGGTACTTTGTCAAAAAGCAGCTGACTGATGTGGATGGATTAATTTCTGGACTCTCAATTCTGTTCCATTGATCAACGTATCTTTCATTAAACCAGTACCAAGCTGTTTTGACCACTGTAGCCATGTAGTAAAATTTGAAATCAGGGACTGAGAGGCTTCCCACCCTGTTCTTCTTCTTAAGCAGTGCTTTGCTTATCCTTGATCTCTTTTCTGTCCATATAAAGTTTGTCATTGTTTTTCCATCTCTTTGAAGAATGTCATTGGAATCTGGATTGGGATTGAATTATATGTGTAAATTGCTTTGGACAGTATTGACATTTTCACAATGTTAAATCTTCCTATCTAGGAGCATGGTGTATTCTTCCAAAAGGTGTATGGTATATTCTTCCAAACCAAAAGGTCTCTTTTGGTTTCTTGTAGTAGTGTTCTGTAATTTTCTTTGTATAAGTCCTTCGTTTCTCTGGTTACATTTATTCCTAGATATGTCATCCTTTGGGTGGCTATTGTAAATGGTATTGTTTTCCTAATGTCCTTTTCAGCACTGTTGTTATTGATATAGAGAAATCCAACAGATTTTTGTATGTTGATCTTATACCCTGCCACTTTGCTGAATCCCCCAATGAGGTCTAGTAGCTTTTATACTGAGTCTTTGGGGTTTTCTATGTATAGGATCATATTGTCTGCAAATAGAGAGAGGTTTTTTTTACTTCTTCTTTGCCAATTCGGATGACCTTGATTTCTCTATCTTGCGGAAGAGCTATGGCTAAGACTTCAAGCATAATATTGAATGGGAGTGGTAACAAAGGACATCTTTGTCTGGTTCCTGTTCACAAGGGAAAGATCCATTAAGAGTAATGAGGCTATTGGTTTTGTATATATGCTCATGATTATGTTGAGGAATTTCCCTTCAATTCCTATTTTGTTGAGTGTTTTTATCAGGAATGGATGTTGGATTTTTGTCAAATGCCTTTTCTGTATTAATTGATATGTTTGATCATGTGGGGTTTTTTTTTTTCTTTTTTCTTGTTTATATAGTGAATTACATTGACTGTTTTTCTAATGTTGAACCATCCTTGCATCCCTAATATGACTCCCACATGGTCATGATGTATTATTTTTTTGATGTGGTGCTGGATTCTGTTGGCTAGGATTTTGTTGAGAATTTTTGCATCTATGTTCATGAGGGATATTGGTCTATAATGTTCTTTCTAAATGATGTCCTTCCCTGGTTTTGGCAGGAGGGTTATGTTGGCTTCATAAAAAGTATTAGACTTTGCGGCAGCTCCGAGAGCCCCACCCCCTTTCTCTGCAGAATAACCATGGCCGCCGGGAACCTGTACACATACCCTGAAAACTGGAGAGCCTTCAAGGCCCTCATCGCTGCTCAGTACAGCGGGGCTCAGGTCCGCATGCTCTCCACACCACCCCACTTCTACTTTGGCCAAACCAACCGCACCCCTGAATTTCTCCGAAAATTTTCTGCTGGCAAGGTTCCAGCATTTGAGGGTGATGATGGATTCTGCGTCTTTGAAAGCAATGCCATTGCTTACTATGTGAGCAATGAGAAGCTGCGGAGAAGTACTCCAGAGACAGCAGCTCAGGTGGTGCAGTGGGTGAGCTTTGCTGACAGCGACATGATGAGACCTGGGGACTCCTGGGCCCAGGGGTAGGGACAGGGCCCCAGAGGACTAGAATGGAATGTGAAGCATCCAGCTGATATAAAGAGAGGGGGGATGTAGAAAAAAACCAAACTTGCAGATATTACCCATTTGACCTGGCATCAATGACTGGATGCTTAGAACACAACTAGAGGAAAAAAGAAGATGGGGGAAAAAGAAAGGAGTAACCCATTATAAATGGATGATCTTGACCTATGCTTGTGGATGCAATATGACAAAGGAGCAGACAAATCTGTACAGTAAGGATCATTCCCACCCCCTTGGTACACAGGGTCAACAGGGATGGGAAACTTAGACATTGACTCCCCAAAATGGGGGGACTACAAAGGCAAGAAGTGACTGGTTTACAAGCTTTCAATAGGGAACCTAGCTCCAGAGGATACAGGGAAAGGTAGAATCTCCACTGAATTTTCCAATCTGTCTGGATAGGGCTGATAAAAGGAGATGGGGATAAGACTTGTGGTTCAATAGGGAATGATTGCTCTCAGGTCTGACAGTGAGTGTTGGAAAGGTAAATGTAAATGTTTGGTAACAAAAGGAGAGGAGGGGCTGATTTTGCAGTCCAAGATCCCTGGAACCATCAAGGGAGAAAAGCAAAGTGTGAGACTGTGTCTGAAGAGGCAGTGACACTAGGGATAGAGGCAGAGGCAATGGCATGGACAGAAGGAGTGGTTGGGGACTCTGGTCTCAGGGAGGGAGAGGGGCTGTGTGCTGGCGGCCGGGGAGTAGGCATGTGGGGTGTACCCTTTGGGTGTTTGGTGATGCATGCAGGGGATTGTGATCATTGCAATGAAACAAAGTACAATAGGATGAATGTAAAGAAGATGTTCACCCATGTAAACTAACACATATTTCACAATAAAAATTAAAAAAAAAAAAAAAAAAAGACACAATATGAGCCTTGGGGTCTCAGGAAGGAATCCAGCAGGATGAGACCCACAATATATGCTGTCATGGCAAGAGACTCCCCAGAAGGGGCAGGTGAGGCTGGCGGGAGAAAAGAATCTTCAGTGAATGTTTCCAAGAGGCTATGGACTTAGTTCAACTTAAACTCCTAGCACCCAGTTTATAGTCTGTCCCATGATTTGAGTTGCCCAAGGAATAGTTGAAGGGAGGATGCCTATCTCTGTACAGAATGCAGATGGAAAGGCCCTGGGACCAGGCTCCTAGCATGACAAGGAAAAGAGCTGACTCTCCTTGAGCAGTGCATGCCACGGATGGGTGCCCAGAGAAGCCAGACCACTGCTGTGTGATACAATGTTTGTGATGCTGGCATTATAGAGCATATGACTTTCCCTAGTAGAAGATTCTGGAAAGTAGGAGCCAAACCAGAAGGTCACTGTAACTCAGTGTGACATTCTACACACACACACAATCGGGGTGGATCTATAGCCGCTTTGTCTTCTGACAGGTCCACTTCTCAGAACTGTCTCATTTCCAGTACCTACCTGAGACAACTATAGGACGCCTTGCCCAAGGTGCCTGTGGATGAAGGTGGTCTGAGGATCCATTCCTGGAGAGTTGGCATGGACACCACTTACCCATGCCCTCTGCAGTGGGCTGTGCAGGGAACCATGCCTGTGTCCAGGGCCTGCTCCC